AGTGCTAGTTAACTCTCAGAGGCTGCTATGGAAAATCCTAGTGAGAAGACAGCTGAGGCCCATTCCACTTTTCTGCATCCCTTCCTTGTGGATGTAGAAACATGCCTGTAATTGGAATCCGAGTGATGGAAAAACCTTTACGTGTAATTATCAAACAAATACTGATATTATCAGCAACCATAATTCCATGATCACTTCAGTGTTTTAATGTCTTTCTTGGGTGTTCATACTGAGCTGGTGTCTCTCTCTTTAACTCAGGCTGGCCTGGGACTCACTGTGTAGCATAGGGTGGGTCGAAATTCCGATCCTCCTGTCTCAGCTTCCCTGGGATTGTATTCCCTGCTTTTGATGTGTGTTTTGGGGACAGGACTCTGATTCTTGTGTTTCATGGGCAGCACATTACTAGCTGACCTACCTTCCTGCCCCTAGCCATATATATATATATATATGTAGATTGTGTGTATGTATATATATCCACATATATATTCTAGAAATGAGTACTTCTGTATAACAGTACCCTAAACACACCCATTCCACTCTGCCTGTTCCCCATGATCAAAACCCATATTGAAAGTTGCACATAGCTATCAAGGCACACGGTGTACCTGTATTTCTGTTGATTCCTTTTCTCATCATCTTGTGGCGGCCCATGTGCTCCTCCTCATTGTTTTCGATAAGTTTCTGGACTCTTCCTTGCGAGCATCTGTGGGTGGTTAACTTGGAGTCTTCCCTTTCCCCTCCCACTTGAGTGGAAGTCTGGGTGGAAATCAGATTCTGGTTGGTTATTCCTTGTCTTCAGACCCGCGGTGCCGCTGCTGGCTGCTGCGTGTCTTCTTGTGTTTGCTGTTGGAAGAATGTCAATGCTCTGCCAGCCTTTATTCCTTTGTAAGTAACTTAGCTTTTTCCTCCCACTCGTTTAATACCTTTTCAGAAGAATATTACAATTTGATCCATAGAAACCGTACATGGTGGTGGTGGAGGGGCGCCGGGAAATGCACACAGTGTTCCAGTTGAGATAAGTGTCTTCATTGCCTCAGACATTTGTCGTTTCTCAGTGATAGATGCAACCAGAATTCTTTCTTCTAAATTCTTTGTTTTGGGTATTTGCATCTTTTGACAGGGTCTCATGTTTCCTAGGTCTTGAATTCGCTCTATAGGCAAGGATGACCTGGAGCTTCTGGTCCCCCTGCTTCCCCCTCCCGTGTGCTGGGATTGCAGGAGTGCACCATCATCACCCTGGCGTAGGCAGTGCTGGGGTGGAACCAGGGCTCTGTGCATGCTGGGCAAGCCCTCTGCCAACTGACCCACAGGCTCTCATGGAGCCAAGGATGGCCTTAAACTCACGGTGCAGCCAGAGATGGCTTTGAACATCTAATCTTTCCTCCACGGCCTCCCAAAGGCTAGGATTACAGGAACGCATCACCATGTTGACAGCTTCTTAAAACCCAGGATGCAACACCAAATTCACCCTACTGCTCAAAGCAACACCATGACTCATCTCTTCTAAATACCCAGTGACTGACCTTTCTCACACCCTTTCCCTCTACTTCCCCTAACCGTGGTAACCAGTGTCTACTCAATACTTCCAAAGCTTAGACAGTTCAGTCTCCATATCTGAAGGGATCATGTGGTGTCTGCTGCTCTGTATGTGCTTCATTTCATGTTACACAGTGTCTCCAGGTCCACCTATGTAGTTTCAAACCACAGGATTGCATACCTTTTATGGCTGAATACTAGTTTATTATGTATATATATATATATATATACCACATTTTCTGGAATGAATCATCAGCTGACAGTTATTTAGGCTGGCATAACATTCCTTGGTTACTGGGAATAGTGGAGTAAAAACATGGGAGATGTCTCTTTGGCATGCTGATTTAAGTCCATATATATTTATAAGCCAGATTTCTAGGCCTTATAATAGCAGTTTTATTTTCTGGGGACTCCACTTGCAGTTTTTAATAACATCTGTATCCACTAATGCCATGTTAGTCTTTCTCTTTTCCCTACATCTTTCCAGTCTTTCTCTTTTCCTTGGTATTTGTTGTTTTTCATTTTTGGTAATAGTCATTGTAACTAGGATGAAGTGATATCTTGTTAAGGTTTTGATTTCTATTTTATGCTGATTAGTTGTGGCAGGATATTTGATCACATGGTGAACCCCAAGATGGTGTACTAGAAAAAACTGTTTCTAGTTGTGGTGTGGCTCAGCCCTAGCACACACATTAATCCAACAGCTAAGTAAGGTCAACTGTAGGTCAAGAGGCAGAGCAAGTAACCAGCTGACAGGGAGTAAACAGAAAGGAGGGACGTTGAGAAAAGGGTACTTAAGACAGTCTGGAGAAGGAGAAACAGCTTTTTCCTTCTGGGTTGTCAGTGGAGTAAGAAGGGCAGTTGGGTGCTTGCCCTGCCTCTCTGAGCTAGCAAGCCTTCACCCCAGCATCCGGCTCCTGGGTCTTCATTGGTAAAAATAGAATTATTGGGATTTTGTTTTTAAAAACAACATGATGTTGAACATTTAAAAAAATATATTTTATTTTTAAGTGTGTGTGTGAAAGAGAGAGAGAGAAAGAGAGAGAGAGAGCACAAGTGGAGCTGCCCATGGAGGCCAGAGGAGGGTATTGAGTTCTCTGGAGCTGGAGTTAAAGGTGGTTGTGAGCTGAACTTGAATCCTGCATAAGAACAGCAGCGCTCTTGGCCAATGAGCATCTTTCTAGCCCTGACTTAGGCTGTCTATCCCTAAGCTAAAGTGCCATGACCAAAAGCTGCTTGGGAAGAAAGAATTTATTCCATCTTAGAGTTTGCAAGTCCATCACTGAGGGAAGCCAGGCAGGAACTTGGAGGCAGGAACTGATGTGGAGGCCATGGGGGAGTGCTGCTTACTGACCTGCTCCCCATGGCTTACTCAGTCCGGTTTCTTACTGTACCCAGGACGGCTAGCCCAGGGGTGGGACTGCACACAGAGGCATGGGTGGCTTCGCATATCAACCATCAATCAAGAAAAGGCACTACCGGCATTCCCAAAAGCCAGTACAGTGGAGCCATTTTCTCATTTTCCCCTTTTCCAAAATGATTCTAGCTTGTGTCAGTAGACATAAATCTAGCCAGCACAAGCCCCGACATCGCTTTTGAAAAAGTCATTCTAACTGGGGGTGAAGTGATATCTCATTGGGATTTTGGTTTGCATCTCTCTGACGATTACTGATGTTGAGCATTTTCTTATATATCAGTTGATCAAAAATATGCTTTCTTTTGAGAAATGTTTATTTAGGTACATTGCCCATTTAAAATCAGATTATTTACGTATTTGTTAAATTGTTTGAGTTCCTTTATGTTTTAAGTCATCGATGCTCACCAGATGTATAATCTACAAATGTCTTCTTCCATTCTGTAGGTTTCTTCTTCATTCTGCTGATGGCACCTTTTTCTTTGGAAAAGCCTTTCTGTTCCAACCCTATTGCCATGTTTTTGCATTTGTCTCCTATAGTTTTAGTGCCTTATCAAAAAAATTCACCATGAAGACACCCCTACAAAGTATTCTACACCTGAGTTTTCTAGTATACTGGTCTCACAGACTATCTTGAGTTGATTTTTGTATATGGCGGGAGATGGGATTCTAGTTTCATTCTGCCCCTTCTCCACTCCCTCTCTACCCCCTCCCCACCCCCTCCTGCATCAGTTTTGAAGATCATTATCTTGTGTGCTCTTCGAATCTTTGTGTGAGCTTTATTCCGCTGTCTCTAGTCTTGTTCCTCTGTCTGTTGAGGCCTGCTTTAAGTTTTTGCATAACTATAGCCCCTCTGTTTAGTTTTTAGCACAGCTGTAGCAGCTACTCTGTTGACACCCGCTTTCATCTTGATCCTAAGGTAAAAATTAAGTTCAGGTTCTTTGGCTCTGCCTCTCAATGATTAATATGATGACACTTTGTAAGGTCAGAAGAACATCTTATATTGTAATGTCTCTGTGGCTTCATTTCTCAAACTTTGCTTTATTGCCTGCACATCCTAAAGTCCCCCACTGCAGGACCAATCAAATTAAAGGTCAGTTAGAAATGCTTTGTTCAGCTAGTCAAAATGATGTAATACTGCCCTTCCCTTGCTTCCTACACCTGGTTACCTGGTTGTTACCTGGTTACAGGTTTTCTTATAAAAAGTCTACCTTAAAAACAGCCAAGCATAACAGTCTTGGTTTCTGAATCCAGACTGTGTGCATTTGAGCTTGTGGAAAACAGGAAAGAAGGCTTTGTGCCAAGCTGAAGTGCTCTACAGTTTGTTTACTCATGAGCCCGTAAAGATATTCACTAAACTATGAGGGTGTCCTGATTACTTTTATATCAACTTTACATAAGCTAAAAACAGACCCAGGAACATGATATTGGGGTTGGGGGGCAATCCCATCAATAATAACGATAATAATAATAAATATTATAACAGTATTGTTTTAATAATACTAATATAAACATTTAAGATTTTTACTTTCTACAGCAAATAAGGTATACATCAGTAAAAGCTTTGGAAAAACATACATCTAAAGGAAATGGCAATACTGACAGGTTGTATAAAAGTCAAGGGTTCTGTCTATCTGGGGACTTGGGACGTTTCCTAACAGATGAAAACTTAGATTTAGAGTTTTAATAGAGACATAATCACACCTAGAATTTAAATATTTTTTACATTAAAAATCATTCTCTTTCTCTGCGCATGTGTATGTGTGTGTGAGGGCATGACAGAGTGAGTGAGAGCACAGCAGTGTGCGTGTGGAAGTCAGCTTATAAGAGCTGTAGCCCTCCTCCTACCATGTGGGACCCAGGGATCATGCTCAGGGCACGAGGCTTGGCAGCAGACACATCCCACCATTAAGCCAACTCCCAGCCCCCACCCCACTGAGTTTAAAGGTACAATATGACATAAGAAATGTAGATAGCTTCCTCTACATCATTAGGACTTTCCTGTTGCTCTCAGTTCCCGGGACTCATGACCTGTTTTTTCCCCTCACAGTACTTGGGATGCATCGAAGTTCTGCGCTCAATGCGGTCTCTTGACTTCAGTACAAGAACTCAGATTACCAGGTAAGCTCTCTTGAAAGCAGATTCCTGTGACGTCATCGCTGAGAGGAAAGAGCTCAGAAGCTCATGTCTGGGGATTTCTAGAAGAAAGTCCCAGTAATGGAGTCAAGGCTCAGACTGTGTTCAGACATAGATGTGCCTGTTCATGTGTGGACAAATATGTTTCTCATAAGGAGCAGCATGACAGGCACCTGACCCTTCTAGGACCCTTTTGTAATTAAGCTGCAAACATAATCATAATTAGGTTTTTTTAAAAAATTAATTAAGTGTGTTTGTGTTTGTTTCCCTAATGTAGGAACCACTAATGCAAGGTCAATATTAAAATCACCAAACTATATTCTTTCTGAAAAACAAAGACCAAGATATCCAGAGTGTATTTCCAAACTGCATAGAGAAAATAAATTTCACAAGACTTGAGGTGGAAATATTCATAGGAGAAGATCATTTAGGAAGGAGATTGACTTTTAAAGATATTTTATTTCCAACTAATATTAGGTTTTATTATGGCATTTTATTTTTATTAACATATTAATATAAAACACTAGATTTCATCATCCTTTCACACGTGTGCTACTTCACTGTGTACATATTCATCTCCTGTCTTTCTCTTTTATTCTTCTTTTCCTTCCTACTTGTCTCCTTCTCTCCCTAAATACTCTTTCTACTTTAGTGTTGCATATATTTAAATATTTATTCTACAAATGAGAGAAACATGTGATCTTTGTTTTCTTCCCAAATGCTCTTTCTTGTTCCACTTGCCTTCTTCCCTGGCATAGTTCCCCTTTCACTTACATCACACATACACACACACACACACACACACACACACACACACACACTTCTGTTACTCTGGCTTATTTCACGTAACACAATGGTCTCTGGTTCCAGAGTTATGACAAATGACAATTTAAAATATTTTATATGTGTTTCCTACATTCTAAACTTCTCGTGAGCCAGGACTGAAACACTTTTCAATGAAACATTATAACTAAATATAGTTTCTAACAAAGTCAAGCTTTAAAAAAAATGCAAATTTCCAGTCACATTGCAGAGGAGGATAAAGAGGCTGTAACACAGAGGCATCCCTGTATCCAGGGGTTCTCTATTGCACTGACGGTTGCGGAATTGCTCAAATGGCTTCCTCAGAAAATGACACTTGATTACTTCATCCTGATTACTGTATTGTGCTTCTCTGAGTTGGGAAGCCACTCCCGAAGGTTTAAGTCATCACGTGTATTCACTGGCTGTTATGTCCACACCTATACCACAAGTACTATAGTAATGTCTCTTCTCCCTAAAGCAACTCAAGACGCTTGGTGGGAATATACCAAAATCTAAACCAAGGAAGGACTCCATTCCCACCCAGTTGTGAAAGGACAAATGAATTATGTTCTGAAGTGAGATATTGTAGAAGAAAACTCTCCTGGGTCACATCCATTCGCTGTGCTCAGGTCTGCATGGACAGAGGAAAGGCAAAGAGGCTTCCCTCAGGGGAGGGTAAGAGGCAGGATGGGCTCAGGTTCTTACTCGGCTTGTGAGGGGCTTGGTCACAGGGCTGGGGGCTCTTCAGAAGCACCGGAATACATGTTAGGGTGGATGGTGTTAATAGTTATACCATGAGGGGCAAGAACAGTATTTGTGGTGACTTTGGGGAGAAACTTAATAGCAGGAAGGAGAAACATTGAGGCTGGTTTCTCCTTCCTGTGCCTCGGAGACGAAAGGGCAGATGGTTCTCTTAGGGTGTTCCATTGCTGCGAAGAGGCACCATGACTACGGCAACTCTAATAATTGGAAACATTCACTGGGGCTGGCTTCCATTTTCAGAAGTTTAGTCCATTGTTGTCATGGCGAGAAGCATGGCAGCACACAGGAAGACATGGCACTGGAGAAGGAGCTTGGGAGTTCTACATCCGGATCCACAGGCAGCAGAAAGAGAGAGAGACTGGGCCTGGTTTGAGCTTTTGAAACCCCAAAGCCCACCCCCAAGTGACACACCTCCCCCAACAAGGCCACACCTCCTGCAACAATGTTACATGTATCTCCTACTCCATCTCAAGTAGTGCCACTCTCCAATGACCAAGAATTCAAGTATATGAGCCTGTGGGGCCATTGCTGTCCAAACCACCACATTGGCCATGTTCACTGTCTGTCACTGACAAGGCATCCAGTGTCACAAGTGCAGAGGGAATCTGGGGATGTGGGAACTGTGCGATGTTCACATTCACCTGTGATGGCTTTTAAAGGGATAAAACCTAGTACAGTCATTTCTGCTGGGATCCCCCTTCGGGTCTCTGAGGTGCTTTTGCTCCATTGATATGTTTATTAAATTCTGCCACGAGTTGTGCCACTGGGCAGTGTGGACTGTCTGCTCTGCCCATTTGTCTAGTGTTGAGGAGCCATGTGACACACAAATGGCTGAGGGACAAGGGACCACCCTGCTCCTCTGGGGGGTGGGTAGTAAGGGGAGCAGGTTATGGGAGGCACAAGTAAATAAGGTTAGTTTTCCCTTGTTGAAGATTTGTGTGTGTGTGTGTATGTGTGCGTGTGTGTGTGTGTGTGTGTGTGTGTGTGTGTGTGTGTACCTGTGGGAGGAATCCAAGTGGAAAGAAGCACTCACTGTAGAAAGCAGATGGAGGCAGGGTTGGCGGGTACGGAGGCGGGTGTCTTTCTGCAGTCCCGCTCTACTGTGTGAAAATGCTTCAGTGCGCTAGGGCAAATGGAATGTCCATCGTGGACACGGACAAGGTAGCGTTACATTCTGGCTGCAGCAGCATTGCCTTGGGTAGCATTAGGTTTTTGAAAATTACGTTATCTGTGTTGCTCGCTATCCCTGTGTTCTCTCTATTAGGCGACATGTTGCCTTCTTATGGAAGTTAGTTTCTGGAACACACAAAAATAAATCGACACACCAACATTAAAAAGAAGCTGTTTGCTTCCAGAGGAGTGCGCTGCCATGCCTTGTAGATTCAGCACAGGGTGGGACTTCAAAAAATACTTTTTTAATAGAAATAAAATTATGTAATTTTCTCCTTCTCTTTTCTATCCAGACTTCCCTACCCTCCCTCCAGTGTGGAGCTTTTAAGGCCTTGCTAGGAAACTATGTGTTAACTGCCTGCCTCTCTAATTAAATTCTTCCTTCATAATTTATATAGCAAAGGTATTCTTGGACGGTCACAGGGAAACTTAGCATGGTCGATTATACAGATACTTGATGACCTTATTTCTGAAGGTATTTCAACCATGATATTTAATTAAGTCCATTTTGTAAGCAAACAACCTCTATACATCTGTTTACTTCGTTTTAAAATATAACTTAAAATTTTTACCTGTGTATTATCTGGAGGGACCAACAGTGGCATCACAGGCCTTTTGCAAGGTAGGCCTAGTTTCATCCTGTTCCTGGAAACTGACTTTATTTATTTTCAACAATAGTAGGCATAGATTTTCAACTAAAAGATGACTTCTGTTTTTCAACTAAAACAAAACGTTAAAAATGTAAGTTTAATCGCTTCTAGACTTAGTGGCTCAGTGGCTGTCAAAAATCTTATACTCCTAATACCTTAGTTTAGGGGGATGTGTTCATGTCAATCACTGTCTGCTGTGCTGAGGAGATGGTCTGGCTGTAAGACCCAACTCTGCCAGCACAATTTTTACCTGAAATATTGAGCATGGTCTGGATGTGTACACATAGTAAGAAGGGGGCAGAATAATGTTTATAGATTCTACAGGACAAGGCCTGGTCAGGGGGGCTCCTGTTGGAGTTTATTTGCTCTTATTGCCAAGACTTTATGCATCACAGTGGCCACAGGACTATAAGGGAACATCTGTAATATGAGAGACATGAAGGCTGGAGCAGCTGTTGCTTCCTCTGGTCCCTTGTGTTGGTGGGGTGTGCAGAGGAGCTAAGGGCCTCCGTGCTTGTGAAGCTTGTGGGAGGTTCTGCAGAGGAAACTGCTTCCCACCGGACTCCTCAGCAGGCTCAGAGAGCACAAGTCCTCTGCCCTCCCCAACAGTAGCCTTTCTCAGCACAATTTTGGAATAGGGCCTATGGTCCCCATACCTCCAGAATTGTGGACAGGAAGTGCCTTTTGCAGTATCAAAGGTGACATAGAAGCCCCACTGTGGGGGACAGGGAAACTTCATTGTTCTAAGTTTTCCAAGTTATCTCAGCAAGGTGATGGCCTCACTTCTGTCCACCCAAACAAGTGTGACACAATCTCTGCCTGCTCCGTGGCCCCCACAGGGCTCAGACCAAGGACTGATGTCACCTGGTTTCCACCTGGAGGTCCATCAGAGGCCTTTAGTTGTGCAAGGCTGTTAGGTTCCTCACTAGTCACTGTGACACAAGGCCGGACATTGGTCGCTCTAACACAAGATGGGACACTGTGACCACAATGGTGGGACACTGTCCCCAAGGATGTTGTCAAAGCTGTGATTCCCTTGTTGGCACTACCGTGCACAACAAACAGTATTTCCTGGGTCAGGAGCCTGCCCTCATATGGCCTCATATGGTGAGAACTCCTGGCGAAGGAGCCGTGGAGTCTGGGCATGACCTCACAGCATAACTGTGAGTGTGCTCAGAGTAGCCCTGCTGTCTGAGCTCCGCAAGGGGACAAGAAATTACCTTGGTCACTGTTGTGTTAAACACTGTCACTGGAGGTCCCACCCCCCCCCCCAGGCCAAGATTTGGACAGTGGAAAGCTGTGACTATCTACACTGTACGATTAAAATCCAGAGTCCTCAGAGAGGTGGCCCTTCCCCAGCAAGCTGCAAAGGCCCTTGGGATGTTTAATATTGATGGTCAACTTCACTTATCAATCAGAAGTCACACCCTAGTTGCACAAAATTGAAGGAGTGTCTGATCAGGCCCCAAGCTAGACACAGCACAGGACAGCAGATTGAGGAGTGGTCCTGGGCTGGACCTCCCTTCGCTCCTCATTCCTCGTGCACATCCAGGGTGTGACGGCTCATTTTCATTGTCAAATCGATGGGCCTTAGAATCA